AGATTTTAGCTTGATTTGAAGGAAGCCAGGGAAACCAGGATAAAGAGGAAATCCGCTTCAGGCATGGAATATCTTGTATGAGGAATACTAAAGTATAAAGCCAGTATGTTAGAGTGTTACAGAAACCAGGAGAGGAGATAGCACTAAAAATACACTGGTTCACAGTACCAAATGTTACAAAGTTAAAGAAAGGTGAAGACTGAATAAGAAGTCACTGGTGAATATGACACCTGTTTCTACAGTGTGTGAGTAGGAGCAAAATTTATCATGTGACGAACAAGTGGGGACAAAGAGTATTCACACTACTCTACATAGGTAGGTAATGAAGGGAATAAAAGATGTACAAGAGTAGCTTAAGGGACAAAACAGAGTAGAGAGGAAAATATTTTGAATAGGAGAGGACTGGCTGAAAGTGTTTACTGGTAGAGAATTAAGAGCCGGTGTTGAAAGAGAAAATTAGGATGCAAGAGAGAAAAGGAATGATCATTATAGCAAGGTCTTACAAGAGGTGGGTGCAGAGGGGACCAAGACCTCAGGTGGAGAGTTTAATCTTGGCAAGGAAGAGGGACATTTGGAGGTAAGAAGATGGGGGTTAGGGGGCAGCTAGGTGGCACAGTGGATAGAGCTCTGGCCTTGGAGTCAGGAGGACCTGAGTTCAAATCTAGCCTCAGACAATTGACACTTACTAGCTGTGTGACCTTGGGCAAGTCACTTAACCCCGTTGCCTAAGCAAAAACCAAAAAACAAAAAAAGCAAAACAGATGATGGGGGTCAAAGAGTGGATTGCCACTTCAGATATGTTAGTGGTAGAGAAGTTCTGATTAAAGACCAGGTCCAGATTGTTACAGGGTCAGTGTATGGCTGAAATGGCATTGAAAGGGAGATCCCTGGAGTTCAAAAAGTTGAAAAGCTATGTGCTTCAGGTAATAGGAAGATCTTTCCAATAAAAGTGTACAGTGTACACCTGTTACCTGATCCCAAACATTTTATTTTCTAACCAAAACTAAACCAAATGAATATGGCTTTTAAAGTTTATGATAAACAGATCAAGGAAGACAGAATTTCTCAGATTCCTACTCATTAAGTCAGATTCTAACCTCACTTCCCTGAAATCTCAGATGGATGGGTTTGGGCGGTAGTCCGAGTTTGGGAGTTTGGGAATGTGGGCAGCTCAACAAGAAAAAGACTCCAAGAAATGCCACTCTCCTTTGAAATACAGTGCCTGAAAACTTGCTAAATTAAAATCCTTGGTCCAGAAAGGCAAGTCCCTTTACATTACTCCTTTTTCTACTGCCCCAAAACTAGCACATTGTCTAATACAGAGTAAATGCTCAGTACATATTTACAGAATTAAAATGAGTGAGTGACCTTCTACTTGTGTGCTACTAACATGATTAAATACCAAAAATTCCCCAAAGAAACTGTGTGTAACTGAATGGCTGTTGAAAATCATTCGTTATGCCTATTCCATTTTCAAAGAGAAAGTGGCATCTAATGGGATTAATGTCAACTCACATCAAAAATGAAGCATAAGGTATCTTAGTCTTGCAGCTATCCAATATGATTTACAGAACAAAAGATAAGCAGTTTTGATGACTTCATCTTTTGAATCTCTCTCAGATAGTAGAGGCCACGATTCAGGATAATGTGGACCTATTGTAGGTTATGTCTTAATGAGTTTAATTACTAGAGGTTACACCAAGTGGATATATTCCATAGGCAGTGGGCCAAATAGAACAGGACAGAGATTAGGGATGGATATACAGATTTAGGAGTTTTCTGCACAGATGTGATCATTGAGTCAACACTAGGGAACAGAAGAAGACAGAAGAAAAGAGAGCCTAAGAAGAGACCTTGAGGGAGATCCACAATTAGGAGGTAGGAAATGGAAGATGAAACAGGAAGAGATTGGAAAGGAACAGTCATACAGGTAGAAAAAAACCAGATGAGGGGCGGCTAGGTGGCATAGTGGATAGAGCACTGGCCCTGGACCTGAGTTCACATCTGGCTTCAGACACTTACCAGCTGTGTGACCCTGGGCAAGTAACTTAACCCCACTTGCCTAAAAAAACAAAAATAAAAACCTAGGAAGGAATATCCAAGTAGAAGGGATGGAGTAATCAAAAGTGTCAAAAACTGTAGAGGTCAAATAGGATAAGGACTAAGAAAAAAATTATTAGATTTGGCAATTGGTTGGTTGGTATTCTGGAAAAGAGCAGTTTTGGTTGACTGGAGGGATTGACAGCCAGAATGCAAGGGATTGAGAAGTAAAATTTCAAACCACATCTAAAAATGACACAGCACATTTCTAAAGAAAGAACCCCATTCGATTCGGCAAATATGCATTAAGCCCCTATAGTTTACAGAGTACCATGTGAGGGCTAGGGAAGACACAAAATTTAGACAAAACATATCTTAGCCCTCATAGAATTTACAGTGGAAAAAAGGCAATGTTCCTTACACAGATACTTCAGGTAGGATGATGGGAAAGGTCTGGTCTCTCCAGTTCTGACACTCCTCCTGCTCAAAAGCCCCTTCCCCTAGTAAGCCACTCCACTTTGCCTTAGAGTGATCACTCTTAAATTCAGTCGGTTTCACTTTCCATATTCCTCTGGGTATTTTATGCAGAAATGTGGCTAGAGACAATGGTAGGAATGTTAATACGTGCCCTAAAGGTGAGTTCATTATTTCAAGGGCCTCTTCATATGTAACTGAACTATTCAAGCCTCTATGTTTTCTAGAGCCATAGCAGCTCTGCATTTTACATCTGAAGACATCATCTTTTACATTTCAAGGTTTACCTTTTAGCCCTGAAAGAACTCCAATTTTTGTACATATTTCACTGGGTTAACCAATGAGAAGACTAGAAAGACAACTGAAATAGATGACTACATCAAAGTCCAATAAAAAGGCTGTAATAATGATAGATAACATTTATATAGTGCTTTAAAGTTTACAAAGCACTTTACATATGGTACCTCATTTGAAGTATGAAGTTGGATGGGGAAAAGGATATTTTAGGATAGTTGGGATTGGGAAGGTATCATTCGAGATGGGCTTTAAAAGAAAGGAAACAGGTGACACAGTGGATAGAGTGCTGGGCCTAGAGTCAGAAGACTCATCTTTTTGAGTTCAAATCTGGCTTTGACACTTACTAGCTCTGTGACCTTGGGCAAGCCACTTAACCCTGTATGCCTTAGTTTCCTCATCTGTAAAATGAGCTGGAGAAGAAAATGGCAAACTACTCCAGTATCTGCGCCAAGAAAACCTGAAAAGGGGTCACAAAGAGATGAACACAACTCAACAACAGTAGTTCAACAACTGACAAGAGGACATTCTAGGCCTACAGAGCAACGTGATCAAAGGCTCGGAAAAAGTACATGGTATGCTCAGGCCAGGGAACAATCTAGTTTGGTTCTATCATTTAGAAGATAGTATCACATGATAAGGTTGGAAAGTTAAACTAGCACCTGATGTAAGAGGTCCCTGAATACTGGGTGGCTGAGAAATTTGAACTTTACTAGAGTACAAAACAGGGAATCACGGGACATTAAGGCAAGAACTATGGCTAATGTACAGTAGGAAGAACGATGGACTGGCAAGTGAGAAAGAGTGGAGGCAGGATGACCTAATGGTCATTTTGAGAGCTCTTTCCATCAGTGAAACTCACAATTGATCCATGCCTGCCCATCTGGTGCAAGTACTGCCCACGTTCTTACAAAAGTTCACAAGAGAGGATATACCCAACACGCTGAAGGCCCTCCTTGCTTTCTCCTGACATTGTGAGGGTACTAATAAAACACTCTGGCCATCTACTTGCCATACCTCAAACTTACCATGTGACTAGCCCGTTTTCTCTTCCTATCCTATAATTCTTTAATCACATCTTTTACATCTAGTTCACCTTCCCAGTTCCTCAATGATTATATGTTGCAGCCTGCTTACACTCACCATGCATCTTGTCACTGCCCTCTAAGTGATACTTACCTTCATTTCTTTGGAGACAGGTGTATTCCTAGTCTTGCTACCATATATCAATACTGGTAGAAAGTTGAAATTGAAAAAGATGGGTCTTGGCTTTTATTAGAAGCTTGGGGTAAACAAATCCTAAAAGCCCACTACCTTCTTCCTGTTCAACTCTGAATCCAACTTGCTTGTCTATCTCAGATATGCATACTGTTGGACAAGCTCTGTAAAGGGTCCTTTAAAATGCATATTGAAATCTGGGCAACAGACATTTTTCATCCACTTGGTCTTTCTTGTGTGGATAGAAAGACCAAACACATGCGAGTGGTTAAGGTCTCTTCCTGAAGGCTCTGCAACTTTCCTGGACTTGATGAAAGGAGGACTCTGGAGGACCTTGTCATCCGCAGACATCCCTTTTCAATTTGGACTCTATGATGGATAATCTCCAGAAATAACCCCTTTCCACACTGCTTTGATAATAAGCATTGATAACAAATATCTAAAAGGGAGATTTATGTTCGCCAAAGATACCACCATTAAAACTGACATTATATAGCACCATAAAATTGCAAACCATTTACATACATTATCTCATTTGAGCTTCACCACAACTCCCATGAGGTAGGAGATGAGAAAAATTAATATAAAAGAGATTAAGTGATTTTTCTATTGTCACATAGCTAATAAATGTCAGTGTCAGGATTCAAACTCAGATCTCCCTGATTCTGAATCCAGCATTCTGTCTTAGTTTCCAACAGTCATGAGCTAAATTAATATGTGACAATAGTTCAAAAGTCTTGCTGCAGGGGGCAGCTAGATGGCACAGCAGATAGAGCACCGGGCCTGGAGTCAGGAGGACCCAAGTTCAAATAAAGCCTCAGACCAGACACTTGACACTTATTATCTGTGTGATCCCGGGCAACTCACTTAACCCCCATTGCCTCACCCCCCCCCCAAAAAAAGCCTTGCTGCTATATAGTTTTCCTTGCCCTGTCAAAAATGATCAAAGTATTCAAAGAGGTTGGGTTACTTACATTACAGTTGGAAGAGCCATCAAAAGACGGATAAGAGCCATCTGGCCAGTCTGCAGGATCCAAGGTTCCTGATTGCCTGTGCTGAGCCTCATATTCCTTGAGCTGCAATGAAAAGACACTTAAAACAAGGGCCAACACACCAACCAGTCACAAATTAATTACTTCGGGCCTCCTTTTACATGCCACTGCTGTTTACTAAATAGCAACTGAGGACATGCTTTCTAAAACTGAGAGGAAGGTACATCCCCTACGCTGTGGGGCATAATCTAAACTAAACTCATAGGTATAAAGAAATTTCTGCGTTCTCTGAAAAGTTCTTCATTTTCTTCACCATTATTTTTTGACTTTCAACATCAAAACTTCTCCTTTCAAGTTCAGTAACAAGGCCAGACAAAATCTACAGCAATTCAGAAACAGGCTATGGTCTGGCCTGCCAATGACTGCTGCCCACGCAAGTCACACACACTCCATTCGTAAACAGATGCCGCACAGCATTCCACAGTAATCTGCACAACAAAGATGGAATCCTGAAATATATTTCAAAAATCTTTTTTCTTCCTGGTTTGAACTGCAGGTCACTGGTTCAGTATAATTGCATAATAAACTTTGAGCATTTTTAGTAGGAAACAACGAGGACAAGAAAGGATGTAACTACACTGCAAAACATGTAGCCCATCTTTTGAGTCATGAAATAGCTTTCTTACGTGATGATCTTGAACTATAAAGAAGGACCTTGGCAAACTAGATAAACGATTCTGCATCAAACACAAGATCTTTCGGTAGGATACGTCTGCAAATTTTCATGCGTGCTGCCACAGAACAAGAATGGAAACTCAACCCTGCTACTTCACATGAATGTGCACAGAAGGCTGCTCTTCCGTTGAAGCCTTCCTCTGATGTGCAACTGGTGTGTGGTAGTGACTTTGGGTTTGAAAAGGTCCTAAGAGCAACTGTAGCAGACCCTACCACAGCTGGGATGCTTTGAGGCAAGCCTAGCAGCAAACTGTTCAGAGGATCAGCCTAGCAAGGTTTGGAGAAGTTTAACAAGCCAACCATCAGGTGAGGGCATTTTTGTTTGGGTGGGGGGAGGGGGAAGGGAAAGTGGCACAAGGGAGGACCCCAAACTCATAAAAGACTATTTGCTAGAGATGTGCAAAAATTTCATTCTGTATCAGTACCTACACTGATGGGATCACAGAGTTTTTGAAGTACAGGAGGAAGGCACTGAAATGGAAAGAATATGGAATATGGGAACCAAAGCTGCTCTTCCTGGGCCTCAGTTTCCTAGAAAGTAAGGAGGTTTGACTAGATAACCCCTAATATATTCCTTCCAATTCTCAATCTATGATTCTAGGGGTTGCTTCACTCTTTGTATTCATATCCCCAGGGCTAAGCATAGTGACCTGCACAGATAGATGATCAATAAATGTTTGGCAGCCAGGTAGCACATTAGATAGATTGCTAGATGTGGAGTCATGAAGACCTAAGTTCAAATCCAGCCTCCTGTACTTACTAGACATGCGACCCTGGACAAGTCACTTAATCTCTACATGCTTCAGTTTTCTCAAGTGTTAAATGGAGATTATAATAGCACCCACCTCTCAGGGTTGTTGTGAGGATCAAATGAGATAAAGCATTTTGCAAACCTTAAAATACTATAAACATGTTATTATTGTTATTAAATGGTGATCCAAAAAAGCACAGAATTTTTAAAAAAATGTATCAAACATGGATTTGTATACACCATGCATCATGTTTTGTTTTGTGGAAGAAAACAATTAGGTGTAGAAAAACATTGATAAGATAGCCCATAAGATTGGGTAAAAGCTTTCTCTACCCTTTGAGGTACTACCTTTAACCCTAAACATCAGTGTTTAAGAGGATAAAGGAATTCCACTATATTTTCTTAAATTAGCAAACATTCTGGGTTTTGTGTTTTCCTTCATATTAAATCGACCTCCAGGGCTTTGAAGCAACAGAATAATGATATAGTTCTTTTGCATTTAAAATATAGCTAGTCTGACCTCCCCATTTCTAGACCTAGCTAGAAGCTAGGTCTCCTATACTTATTTTTAGCTTAGAACCATCTTTGCCTCCTAGCATATTAAACCGTCTCACTCTCATCATTTAGACAGGTCCTGAAATCCCCATATCCTTCACGAAGTGCTTCTGCTTGTGTGAAAACCTATCCATCCCTACAGTTGCCCTCTCTGCTCCTTATTCCATCTTGCCCACTCTCCAGCAGTCTTTTAAAGGCACATCCACCACTTCAATAGGATACAGACACTTCACTATTCACACATGTAGGTGGTTTCATGCTTTTATTCTATCTACCTGACTTTGTAATTAGGTTTGCCTTAACTTGGAGGCTCCTATAGGGTAGAGCCCAGGTAAAACTAATTCTCTTTAGGCAATGCCTAGTTTAATGCCATGTATAAGTCAGCACTTAATGATGTGTGTTTCTTAAAGATACTGATTTCAAAATAATAATACCATCTTATGGTTGTATAGTACTTTGTAGTTTATGAATTTCAGATTCTTTCAGTTTATAGAGAACTGGGCCTGGAGTCAGAAAGCTTCAGTTCAGATCCCATGTCAAATTATTGACTAGCTCTCTGACTTTAGGCAAGGCACTTAACCTCAATTTCCTCAGCTGTAAAATGGGTATAATAATAGCCTACCTCCCAGGGTTGTTGTAAGGATAAAATGAGATAATCTTTGCAAAGAGCTTAGCACAGTACTTGGGACACAGTAGGTGCTAAATAAGGGGTCAGCTAGGTGGCGCAGTGGATAGAGCAGTAGGCTTAGAATCAGGAAGACTCATCTTCATGAGTTCAAATCAGGCCTCAGATACTTAGTAGTTGTGTGACTCTGGGAAAGTCACTTAAACCCATTTGCCTCAGTTTCCTCATCTCTAAGATGAGCTATAGAAGGAAATGGCAAATTATTCCAGTATCTTTGCCAAAAAAAAAAACAACTTCCAGAAGGGTCACAAAAACTCAGACGTGACTCAATAACAACAAAGGTACTATAGAAATGCTTATTCATTCTCCCTTTCTGAGAAGTTGCTCAATGGACAATTGGCCGCAGGGAATTATATTTTTCTCCCCACAGCAAGTCATTAAACTATCTGCTAAAGAAGACACTGAGAAGTTAAAATCTGCCGTTGACAGAGGGAGTGTGAAGAAGACTTCACAGATCTTTGAAACCTTGAAGTAAATACAATTTATTCAAAATTAATTTGATCTAGTTATAAGTATTTTGGGGGGGAAGGAGGAAAAATTGGGGTTAAGCAACTTGCCGAAGGTCACACAGCTAGTTAAGTGTCTCAGGCTGGACTTGAACACAGGTCCTCCTGACTTCAGGGCCTGTACTCTATCCACTGTGCCACCTAGCTCTCTAACCTACTTATAATTTTATGAATATAGTGCACTATCTTGTAAAGCAAGTAAGGACAGAAAATTCAAATAAAAACTTCATATTTTTATATTACAAAAATACTTATATTACAAAATAAACAATACTATTTCTTATTTTACCTAAACACATTTTCTTATTCTTATCCCATGGCCTGGACACCCTTAGTTTCAGGATTCTATGGTTATATTTATCATAATCTCATAGGTCTAGAAAGGACCTCAAAGGTTATTGATTCCTTTCCTATGGATCTAAGGATTGTAGCAAAACTATCCCAGACATCTGGCTTCCTGTTTTAGTCTCAAAAACATGGAGAATGGGGGAGAAGTTACACTGTTGGTGATTTCTGGTTGCTATTTTTTTTTAAGTTTTCCATTATACTTAATCTAAACACTTTCCAGCTGTAACTTAAATCTATTTTTTTTTCTTATTATAACCTCAATGGAGAAAAACTGCTTGTATCTGTAACCTATGCCCATTTGTGGGCATTTCTTATACTTAAAAACAGTTCCCAAGTTGCCAATCAATCTTTCCCTTCTTAGTTAAGTTCCCATTAATTCTCATTTCTTCCTTCCCTATGGCCTTATCTCTGCTCCCCACTTTTAAGTCTTTTTATAACTTAGCCTCTATACTTTAGACCCTTTTTCTGCAGTATTGTCCCTTGTTTAAATCTAAATGCTGCAAAATACCCCATAAAAGAAAGGATTCAATAATACGTTACTGAGGTAGATTAATAAGCCATATAAACTGATAATCAAGATGAATACAATCCAAAAACATGTATTCACTTTAGTAATAATAATAATTGCTACTAGCTAGCATTTACATAGCACTTCAAGGTTTGCAAAGTGCTTTACAGATAAAATAATAATAAAAGTAATGGTAATAACAATAATAATAGCTAACATTTCTATAGTGCTTACCATGTGCCAGGCATTGTGCTAAGCACTTTACAATCATCTCATTTGATTCTCAAAACAACCTTGGGGCCCAGATTCTTAAAATCTAGCCCAGGGCTTCAATTATTAAGGTCCAGCCTACTTGCATTAGTGATACAAATGCTTAGATCCCTTAAGAGTTGGGCAAATATGACAGATGTTCTAATAAACCTTTTCTTTAGCTGAAAGAAGGGTTGGGTCAAATTCTTTTGGGCAGGACCTGTGTGTTGTGATTTTGGGGTGCCAACACCCCTAAGCCTCTGAATCTCAACATTTTGGGGGCCATATGGGGAACCTGCCTAACCCCATGTTCTTTTCCAGCCAAGACTGGGTGAGCATGGGCCCAGCTGGCAATGGTCTTGGGTCCTGGGGCAATCTTTGCCAGGAAGCATCACCCAGGTTCAGCACATCCTGCTCAAGGTAAAGAAGCTAGCCTCTGAACTTGGGTTCTTAAAGTTGTAGTTTTAACTGTTAATGATGAGATGTTGATTCTCTGTGTAAAGTAATTTGGAAATGCATTTAACAAAACTGAAGTCACCTGATTGGTAATGGGTTTGTTTCAAGTTTAAATTGGTGAACTTTTTGCATCAGTTACGTCAAGCAACTTTTCATAATTTGGTTACCACTAAAATAATTTGGCTACCGTTGGTTACTGTTTTAGTGTGTAAACTTGCCAAAAAGCTTATTTGGGTTTTGGTTTGCTGAGAATTTGCAAGTACATAGAAATAATCTCTAATGACTGGCTTTTTACACCAGGACAAATTCAAATTTGAGATGTAAATCCTAGAAAAGTTTTTCTTAAGTTGTGATTAGTGAAACTTGCTGTTTGAGGTAAAAACTCATAGGATTTGATTTTGAGTTGTCTGATGGATCATAATCCATCAATAATCAATAATCCACGATCTGAGAGAAATGCCACACACTATTCAGAGAGAATGTGATACTAGTGGGAAGTCAGCATCTGGAAAAGCTGACAGGACAATTTTAGCCTCAGTCTAAGATGGGATCTCTCTGGCTCAGTTTCCCCATTATGTTCCTTTGAAAAGGAATGCTACCCACCTGGCTATTCCTGAGTCTGGCTATGAAGTGGATTTGATACTGCAGGGTTGGAAAACTTAATTATCTGAACCCAAACAGGGCTAAGGAAGTTTTATCCTGTCATATTTGGGCCCTGCAGTCTTTTCTGTCAGATTTGTGCTTTCCAGACTACAGGTCATTCACCTACAGTTGATAGCAAATAGCAGGTACCAGTCAATGTCCCCCCATCATCCCCTGGATGCAGCCTGTGCTTGGTTCCAGTCAACCTCCTCTTTGAGACCCCCTTGAGGCAGGGACAGCTTTACGCCCCTTGCCAGCAGGAAGCAGTTTCAGAAGCCAAGATCTTCACCCCTTACCCCAAAAGAAACTGAGACCCATTTGTTTGAGGGGAGAATAATGGGATTGGGATCTGGACCCCAGAAAGGAAAAACCCTGGACTTTTCCACATGGTCAAATCTCTGGATTTCGCCTGAAGCTATAATCTCATCAACTGGCCTTTTGTTATCACCCATGCCAATCTCCCAATTCTGTTACCCTTAACCTAGCATAGCCCTCCATTGTCTTGCCTCCAAATGGCCCCCAGCCACTTCCCACCATTTATCTCCATTCTCCCTTGGCCATGTGGTCCAGGTCCCTGGCATTCTATTACCTCACAGACCCCCGAAGACTACTTGGCCACTCCTAAATCTCTCCCACTGTCTTTCTGTATATAAGGTCTATCTTGTCTCCATTAAGGTACTCAGATTCTTAAAATCTAGCCACTGCTCAGATTCTTATAATCTAACCAATAGATCACTAATGTTCAGATTCCTCAAGAGTCTGCCTAATATGATGAATGTTCTAATAAACCTTGTCTTGGACTGAAAGAAGACTTGGGTCGAATTCATTCAGACAGGACCCATGTATTGTGATTTTGGGGTCCCAGCACCCCTAAGCCCCACACTTTTGATTGCCCTCTGTTGATTATCTCCATATTCTGTCTATAGTTTCATTACATAGAGTTGTTTTCATGTTGCCTTGCTCATAGTAAGTGCTCGTAATAAATGCCTGTTGATTGCCCAACTTTAAAAAAAAAAACAGAAAAGGTAACGAGATCAGATAATCCTGCAAGTCAAATGTTAATGATTTTAACGGGGCTCTTATACTTTTACTTCTCCCTATATTTGGGCCCTGCAGTCTTTTCTGTCAGATTTATGTCTTCCAGACTACAGGCCATTCACCTATAGTTGGTAGCAAATAGCAGGTACCAGCCAATGTCCCCCCCATCGTCCCCTGGATGCAGCCTGTGCTCAGTTCCAGTCAACCTCCTCTTTGGGACCCCCCCCGAAGGCAAGCACAGCTCTATGCCCCTTGCCAGCAAGAAGCAGTTTCAGAAGCCAAGACCTTCACCCTTACCCCAAAAGAATTTGGGTCCTATTTGTTTGATGGGGGGATGATGGGGATGGGACCTGGACCCCTAAAAGGAAAAGACCATGTCTTTGGGATCTGGACCCCAAAAAGGAAAAACCCTGGACTTTCCCACCTGGCCAAATCTCAGGTTATAACCAGAGGTTATAATGCTATCAACTGGCCTTTCACTGTGGCTAAATTCAATCTCCCAATTCTGTTCTGTTACCTCCTAATTGCCACTGGCCACTTCCCATCCTTAATTCTATCTAGACTCCATTCTCCTTTGGCCAAGTGGTCCTGGTCCCTGGTTCTATTCACTCCAGCTTACTGGCCACTCCTATCCAGATCCTCCTTAGACCCCTTCTCCAGTCACACCAAACTACTTGGCCACTCCTGGATCCCTCCCACAGTCTTTCTGTATATAAGGTCCATCTCATCTCCATTAAGGTGCTCGGATTCTTAAGATCTGGCCTGCTTGCATTAGTGATACAAATGCTTATATTCCTTAAGAGTCTGGTCAATATGACAGATGTTCTAATAAATCTTGTCCTTGGGTGAAAAACCAAACCAAAACAAAGAAAACAAAACAAAAAAAAACAACTTTGGGTGATTATCCTCCTTTTAGAGGTGAGAAAACTGAGGAAAATGGAGGCAGATTAAATTTAAGTAACTTGCTCAGGATCACACAGCTACTAAGTGTCTGAAGCTAGATCTGAACTCAGATCTTCTGGATTACAGGTGAGGCACTTTATCCACTGTGCCACCTAGCTGCCCTCTAAGAAATCACTTTAAGAGGCCTTTTATATTATGTCCATCCTAAAATTAATTTGTTATGTTTTTATATTTTCAGCTAATAGACTTAGTTTGGGGCATACAGTCACTCAATTAGAGTTCTCAGGCTTTGAAAGTACTTCAGTAACACTTTAATTAATAATACCTCAATGACCCGAAAGCCTGTGGGAAACTTCCAAAAGTACTCATCTTAGACTGTGTTGTCTATACCCAAACAACTGGCTGAAAGGAGAAATCATTGTGTCAATCATCTAACTGTTCCATCATCATAATGGCACTTAATGAACTTGTGCCTCAGTACAGCAAATGGGTACTCAGTAGTTTAGGAGTATCCAGCCAATGGAGAAAAGAGGGAGGGACCTTGCATTTCTGGACAGGGATATTACTGCTTGCTCTCACTTCTGTAGCGTGTGCCTGCCTCTAGCAGTATACCCACTGCTTGCAAGAACGTATAATAAATGAGCTTGCCTCATCTACCTCAGCAGTCTTTCCTATAGAAGTTATTTCTAACAAACCCATAGTTATGACATGGTACCTCTGATACTGTTGTGATTCAATGACTTTAATAATTGTCTCAAATGAGATAATGTCTGTAAAAACCCTTTGCAAACTATAAAGGACTTATATAAATGCCAGTTGTCATCGTTATTATTATTGTTATCTTGAACTACTAATTTCTGCCTCATCAACAGAGTATCTCCATTCCTTCTATCGAATTGGCTTAAGAACTTTCTGTCATGGCAAACAACTGTACTTTGTGTTCTATGGTTTTTTTTTTATCCTCCAAAATGTCCTGTAAACTAAAAAAAGTTGGAGATTTGATTTTATATATATATATGTATATATATATATATATATATTATATATATATATATATATGTAAGGTATTTTTATATATATGTACAGTATTATGCATATAAATGTCCTATAAGACGTTGAAACATAGTTGTAATAGGGACATAGAGAATGGGCCTGTAATTTCATCAGTTTGTGTTGGTAGGCAGCTGCGTAGCATAGTGGGTAGAGCATTGGTCGTGGAGTCAGGAAGACCTGCCATGGACACCTATTGTGTTACACTGGTCAAGTCATTTGATCTCTCAGCCTCAGTTTCCTCAACCATAAAATGGGAATAATACCACCTAGCTCATAGCTGTTGTGAGGATCAAATGAAATAAACATTTAAAGTGCTTTGCAAACCTTAAAACACTCTATACATGTTAGCTATTACTATTGTTATCATTACTGTCATTAATATCATGGTAGTTCCCTATACCAGTCATAATAACTAAGACAAATAGAATCACTAATGTTTTGTCAAGAATGGTGGTCTTAGGCGCAGCTAGGTGGTGCAGTGTATACAGCACCAGACCTGGAGTCAGGAGGACCTGAGTTCAAATCTGATCTCAGACATATAACACTTATTAGCTGTGTGATTCTGGGCAAGTCACTTAACCCCAACTGCCTTGCACCCCCCGCCCCCCCCCCAAAAAAAAGGAATAGTGGTCTTGGTATATCAAATTGCTTATCATCTCAGGGAGTGGGGAAGGTAGGGAAGGAGAGAAAGAATTTGAAACTCAAAATTTTTAAAAAACAAATGTTTAAAATTGTTTTTATATGAAACTGGGGAAAAAATAAAATATTATTCAAAGGAATAAAAGAATAGTGATCTTAGACACCACCAAAATGTCATCAGAAGACCACCTTGACCAACACAGGCCTATTCCCATCAAGATGCAAAGGTGATTTCAGATAGGGAGAGCCAAGCAACAGGAAGAGTTCTACCACGCAGCTCTAATATCTCACCCTGGCAAGGGCTTCCTCAATGGTGATCATCTTTTCTTTTACCATCATCATCAGCTGGATGCGTTCTTCATCACTCATTGTTATCTCACTTGCCACATAGCCAACATCTTCTCCTAGACATAAGAAAAAGGAGAGGAAAAAATATATTTGAAATCACAGATTGCCAAAAGACCAAATATTAATCTCACAACAATAACCACGTAGAGTGGAACGGCCTCCCTTTGCATTGGATTAATGGGACAGCAAGGTGGCAGAATTGTTACAATTTAATAACAGCACATCGCAGCTTGGGAACCAAGTTAAGACAGAAATGAAACAAAAAAAGGTTCCTCTAAGCCGTTGGAAGCTTTCCTAAGTGAGGCCCACCAGGATAGTTTCAGACTCAAGGATACAGGGAATTTTTATTTGCCAGTGGGACGAAGCCCCTATACAGTCACCCCCAAATCATAGAAGTATTCCAAAATGGTGTAGGGTTCCCTAGGCTTCTTTTACTTTGATATCTACAAGACAAATTGTATCACCCAGAAACTGCAGTTAAGTTCTGGCATAATAAAAGAAGGACTCGGTACCAGGGTGAATGGTAGAAAAAAACCCAAAGCTTCATAAACTGCCAGATTAGACTGAGTTATTTTATTCAGTGAATATGATTTCTTCATGGGCCAAAAGAAAATAAGTGAAATCACACAGATGAACCATTTTTTATTCACTAAAAGGTCTGTTTTATAAATATTTAGATGTACACAAACATAAACACACACAAAGTCAGTACAGTGTAATGGCTGGGGGGCCAGACAGGAAATCAGCAGGATTTTGCTTCAAATCCTTCCTCCAACAGTTAATAGCTCTCTAACAACAGGAAAGTCATTTAGCCTCTCCAAGCCTCTGTTTCACCATCTGTTAAATGGGGATAATAACACCAATAAGGCCTACCTCACAGGATGGTTATGAGCCTCACATGAGATGGCGAGGGTGATATGCCTTACATTCTCCAAAGTAAGAACTGGTGTCAAACTCAAATAGAAACAGGTCCCTGAAGGCCATACGTGGCCTGAGAAAATCACAAATTAGCATTATCTGACTTGTATCATATTTTTATTTATTTTGCTAAATGTTTTCCAACTGCATTTTATTCTGGCTTATTTGGGGCCAATCTGAAGTAACATAAATGGTAGTTATTGTTGACAATATAAGGGCATAAATATGTACCTATGTGTGTACGTGTGTGTGTGTGTGTGTGTGTGTGTGTGTGCGCGCGTGCGCGCGTATGAAAGGCTCACCATACAGTGGACAGAGAACCGGCCTTGGATCCGGGATAACCTGGATTCAAAGGCAGCTTCTGGCACACACTGGCATGGTGACCTTGGCCAGCTACCTACTTTAATCCTTAACCTCCCAGTGCTCCCAGGCAACGCCTTAAAACTAAGTCACAGAAGAGTTACTGATTTTCACTGGTAGAGGGAACATCCTTACCAGGAGTTTCCCTACACCAATCAATAATATTCAATTATATTTATTATGTGTCTACTATGTGCCAGGTATTATGGTAAGCACTCATCTGCCTCACCAACTACCCCCAAAATGTATATGTGTGTGTATACATGTATACACACACACACACACACACACACACACACACACACACACACACACCCATTAGCAGCTGTAGTTTGTTTTTTTTTTTTTGGTTAGGCAATGGGGTTAAGTGACTTGCCCAGGGTCACGCAGCTAGTAAGTGTTATGTGTCTGATGCCAGATTTGAACTCAGATCCTCCTGACTTCAGGGCCACTGTGCCACCTAGCTGCCCACTAGCAGCTGTACTTTTAGTAAGATAATGCCATATACACATGTATCGACAGATACACACATACATGCACAAACATAAATGGCATTATCATAAACAATATTCTGAACTGTTAACAGGCTAGGTGCTTCCAACTCAACATTGAAAACAGCTGGAATTGCAGCTGAAAGGCAAATCCCTTTATTAGGTTACTTTTAAAGAGCTTTCCTACATTGCAAAGAGATTCCTGTCATCTTTAATATATTTGAACCATGTTAGGAAGGGCTATACTTTTAAGTCAGCATTGTGGGAAAGGATCCATCTGTGAAAGTGTGCTGGTTTTAACAAACAGACTGGGAATAAGTATGCATTGTTTGTAGTCACTCATCTTTTTCCCCTTACCCTGTCTTTCTCATACATCTTTTACTGCTTTCTTATGTCATTAAGATTCTCAGCCATGGCCTGCCCTTGCTGCACAGAGGTAGGGTGAAAGACTTCGGTTTTAGACGTGTAGGGACAAAATTTCAGCCAGAGGTGGTTCTGGATCTGCTCTCCCCCTATATTTCCTTTTGTCATTTCCATTTCACTCTCAATCAGTACACAGCTACCACCCAAGTGCTCTCTGCTCCCCATCTACTTGAACATAGAGCAGGAATGGTGAATGAGGAATGGTGAAATAACTGATGTTGTTCATTTTACTACTCACATCACCTCTGGTTGGGGGGAGGGAGGACAGAGAAGAGAGGAGGAACTGGGCTGACTTTGTGGTAGTGGTTGTTTTCATCTATGTGGTCTACTATTTATCTATAATGGGGTGCTCAGATCTGAGAATGAGTTTTACTCTTGAATAATTCTAGGCAGGTACTACAAAGAAAAGGCTTAATGATTCAAGCTTTCCTCCAAGTCTGGAATAAGAATGACTTCTACAAACATAAGCCAACCACAAAAATAATACCATACCAACCACAGCCAATAAATACAGGTGTGCTGGCCTATAAATCCATGCTGTTGGTGTGAGTTTTTCTACTTCCCTTCAGGTTACTATAGAAAAAGAAATCTTCTAAGCAGAGAGGTGTACCCAAGGTTCCATGGTTCCTACTTGCAAGTGAACACTGTGGTCACATCAACAGTGTGCAGCTTAAATTTTCATATGACGTTAACCAAAGCTGCCCACAGGTCAGCTGTGCTGGATTCTGAAAAGCAGTTTCATGTAATGCTAGCAAGGCATAACACAACATGGCCAAATGTAATACTTACTATGGGAACAACAAAACAAAACAAAGAACTGAGGCAGGATGGGAAAAATCCCCACAGTGTAAGGCATTTAGACAGTTCTCAGAAGCAACAGGCTCCAAGGTACTCCCTTTCCCAGGAAAATGTCAAAAGTGCAGATGGTCTCATGAACCATCAGGAAAATAGCTGAGTTTCCTAGGGTGAGCCAATGCTGGAAAAGCATCTAAATATCTAAATCATCAAGAGGAAACAGTTTACTTCCCTGGAAAGAAGAATGCGTTTAGGGTCTGAGGAACTGGATTCAAGTTTTGGTTCTTCTGCTTATGACCTACATTGACTTTGGAAAACTCACTATGCCTCTCTTGAAGCAGCTTAGGTGACATAGCGGATAGAATTCTGGCCTGGAATCAAGAGGACCTGGGCTCAAATATGGCCTGAGACACTTACTAGCTGTGTGACCATGGGCAAATTGCTTAATTTCTGTTTGCCTCAGTTCCCTCAACTTTAAACTGGAGATAACAATAATACCTACCTCTCCATGTTGTTGTGAGGATCAAATGAGATAATATTTATTAAGTGATTACCACAGTGTCTGAATTAATTTTCTCTGAATATTAAGGATTTTTGACCCTTTCTATCCCATTTTCCTTTGCACCAACATTATGCAAAGCCCAATTCTTGGAGCAATGATAGTAAATTAAGAAAAGTTTTAACTTATTTTTGTGGGTGCTATACAATGAGCTATACAATTCACAACGTCCATTTTAACTTGTGGAATAAACCTCTCAATATCTGGGAGAGTAGGGGGGAAAAAACCCTGTTTATGCAATGATACCTTTGGACGTCTGCCTCATTATTCCTTTCTGGTTCTTGCGGAAGTTCTGCCAGAAATACTTGTTTTTCTTTTTCCAATCTCCTTTTCCTAAAAGGACAAAAAAGATATAAGCAACAGGCACATGAAAATTAAACGCAGATTCATTATAATTCAAAACTTACAAAGATTATTTTGATTCAACAAAAAGAATGTTGATTCCCCCCACCCTCAATTTTGAGATGAATACTGGTAAGCAAATACACAGCAGTTTAAAGGAAATTCAAGTTGTCTGGAAATAAGAAAAGGTCCAGAGAGTTAAGCTAGGATACAAAGAGACATTATTTATATTTACTCACATGAATAGACTTTTCCATCTACTTAGAAATTTGTTTAGGTAGCATGTCTAACCAGGTCTTGGCTGTGCTGGTTTTTTTTTTCCTTTCAAATTTGGCTAGAATTATTTAGACTAAACCCTAAATTACAAAAGGAAGGAAGGAAGGAAGGAAGGAAGGAAGGAAGGAAGGAAGGAAGGAAGGAAGGAAGGAAGGAAGGAAGGAAGGAAGGAAGGAAGGAAGGAAGGAAGGAAGGAAGGAAGGAAGGAAGGAAGGAAGGAAAGAAGGAAGGAAGGAAGGAAGGAAGGAAGGAAGGAAGGAAGGAAGGAAGGAAGGAAGGAAGGAAGGAAGGAAGGAAGGAAGGAAGGAAGGAAGGAAGGAAGGAAGGAAGGAAGGAAGAGGGGAGAAAGGGGAGGAAGAAAAGGAAGGAAAGATGGGGGAAAGAAAGGAGGGGAAAGAGGTGGGAAAGGGAAAATAAGGGAAGAAAGGAGGAAGAGAAGGGAAAGAAGGAAGGAAGAAAAACTTTGTTCTATTTCTCTTTTTCTTTTCTCTCTTATGGTTGATCTGAATGCATGACACCAATGATGAGGTCTCTAATTACTGCCATCAATTACTTGCTAATAAGTAAGTAGGGGGGAAAAGGGCACCAGAATAGCTCACACATTTTACGGACCCCCTGAGAAGACCAATCATCTTCACTGGTTTGTGCTCCCAACCCTCATACATGAGATCTTAGACTGGTTCTTGAGCTCTAGGTCTGTGTGAGTTCAAGGAACTTGTTCTCATCTTTACCACAAACGGGGCATGCTCTTAATCTATTTGGAGCACGTAACTACTAGCTGGAGGGTGGCCAATAGGCTGGCTACTCTGATTCAAAGAGAATGATGTCCTGGGGGGAATCAAAACATCTACAAATTGCATCCCCAGAAGCCCTGTCCTGTTTTACAAGTTTTGCATTAAAATTTGTGACTTAAGAGTTAAAAAAAATCCACTCTCTAAATATGCCATTTTTGAACAGATGAGAAGAAGCCAGTGATCCATACCAGATATTACTAAGAAAAATGGCAAATAGAAAAGGGAAAATGTGGGTGGTAGGAGAGTGGGTTTGAAGCAGCCTATTACTCATTCTAGGGGGGGAAAAAAACCCAAAAAAACAAACTTCTACTTGGATGCTGCAGTTATATGGCATGACCAAAGCAGCAAGGGGGAAGATTTCTGGTCTTGACTTTCCCAGTGCCTCTGTGATCAGTGCACACAATTGCTCCACAAGCTGAGAGATTACAACCTTGCTTTTTTCACAGAGCCCAGCCTGGCAATGACATATGACAAACCAGAACACCCTCACCAGTCTGCCCCCTCTACTAGAAAGGGCAAAACACTTGTCTAAATAGAAGACCCTTCTTTAAGTTACAACTCATTTCCTCCCCTGCTCCTTCCAACCAGACCAGGGGAATGAAACTAGAAGTTGCTTGACCAGAGGGTCCATAGATGTTTTGGGGTCTTAAAGGTTTAAAGATGTAACATGTGACATTGTAACATTTTAAAGCAAAGGGACAACTGCAAGGCAAGTTCCCACAACAGCCCATGGACAAAGCAAACCCCAAAGTGGTACTGACCTATGGAGCCTTCTTCTGAATTTGATTTGTGAAGAGGAAGCCTAGGACACACAAAAAAGAAAACAGATCAATTAACAGGGGATCCTTACCCATCGGGAGAAGTAGAGAGTCACATCGGTTAGTTTGCACCATCACTTTTACCCTTTTGAAAGTCACTGCCAAAATACAGTTGTGGCACAGGGTTTCTGTGATCAGTGAATGTTGACTGAGTACCCACTAGGCATAATGCACAATATCAAAGAAGGTGGGTGGGCTAGGTGACCTCAAGAACCCCTTCCAGTTCTAAGATTTTTGAATAATCTGTTGAAAACATAATTGCTAACTTGAAGACAACTGTCTATTAGAAAAAGGGATCAAATACAAATGGAAATATACATCAATGCAAACAATAGAAAACTACACCCTGTAAGTATAGGATTGGTGGGATTAAACAACAATTGCTATTGAACTATAGAGATGTGAATGTGCTTAAAGTGAAAGGGTAGCAAAACAAAGGAGAGGGAAAACTTTATGTCAAAGAAGGAGGGATAAAGGTGGACATAACATAAGGAACCCATTGCCTTCCAGAAAGCACAGAAAGGCACAAGAGGTTTTAGAGAGAGAGGTTAAGGGATAAAGAACACAAAACAGAAGGTTTTAGGGGGGTTTATACCTAAAGATCAAGTTTGTCAACTATCATGGAGCAGAAAGTAGAATTTGAAGGTGTCAGGATATATGAAAGAAAGCAAGTGAAGAAAAAAATGTTGAAACCATAAAAAATAGCAAATTGAAATAGACACTTAGAGTCAGGACAACCTGGATTTAAACAATGTCTCAGATACTAGCTGTATGACTCTGTGCAGATCACTTATCTTTCTGTGTCTCAGTTCCCTCATTACAAAAAGGAGGGTTAGACTTGATGCCCTTTTAAGGGTTGTGATCCTACTATGTGATGAGTCTGACTATTTTTTAAGGCCCAAACACCGTATTACCCAGGAAGACAAGGGACTTTCAGCACTTACCCATATAAAGCAAGTTGATGCCCTGCTTTGGTAGGCTCAGCTGACTCTTGGCCGAGTGCTAAGCACTATTCATGAATGCAATCCCTGAAAGTTAGGTGGTACTTTACTCAAAGCATAACAGCAGATGGCACTTCTTTGGGGAATGGGGGGGAAGAGAGCCGATTAAATAAAAATTTGAAAGATAATCATGGTGAACTAAGGGAAAGAGAATGAGCTAGGAATGAACCCACTAAAGGAACAATTAAAAAGTGAGCATTCTGGGATAACCAGATTTGGAAATACAACTTGTTTATCCTTTTTTATATTTTGAAATGTACAGAACATAGAGAAATAAGTTTCTATGGTTTAAATGTCTTGTTCTTTTTCGGGGAAAGCCAGGTGGCAGAATAGATACATTGAAATGAGGAATGCCTGAGTTTGAATCCTGCCTCAAAGACTATTACCTGAGGGACCTTAGGAAAGTAACTGCCTCAAAAAGCCTCAGTTTCCTCATATGTAAAATAGGGATAATACTACAATTAGTAGCAGTAGCAGTAGTAATAGTACTTCATTCATGACTGTTGTGAGGATCAAATGAGATAACTTATGCAAAGTACCTTTGAAACCTAAGAGCTATTATTGAAGCCATAATTTTTAATTGTACATTAACTTTGATATTTAAGTTCACAACAAAAATAGATTTTTTTAAAAGAATACAATTAAATATTATTTTCCCAGCCCTAAGCTGTTTGGGATCACTAAAACAAAACAAAATGACCTTAACATTGTAAAAAGCAAACACTAGTATCAGGAGGTTGCTGAGAAGCAGCTTTTTCAGATATTAGCCCAGTAAAAATCAGATAATTTCCCCACCCCCATTGATTGCGTTAGGGACTTCTCAAAGGTTATCATAAAATGTGTCAAGCCAGTTTATTTTTATTGGCCATGGTCAACCCACTTGGACTACACAAGCTTATTATAGCTGTTCAAAACAAAGACTCCACATTTATTTTCATACATTCTAGAACTTTCCTATTGTCTGATAGGATTACTAAAGCAACTTTGCACTATAGCTGTCTTTAAATACTGATTTACATGGATATTTTTTATCATAACCAAATTTTTAAAATACTTTTCTTTCTAAAAGAAGAGTATCTTTTCTAAAAGAATACAAGGAGAGTCTGGCCCAAACAATGTGCTATAATGATAATACTTAAAAACTTGTCGCAGCCTGAAAGGGAAATGTATAATTACTGATAGGTTATTCTTGAAAGTCGTTATTTATACATTCTCATTATCCTTCATTTGCATTGTTTTGGTAGTAGTTGTTTTCCTAACTCCCTATGAGCTCATGCCAAAGAAAACATTTAAGAGTTTAAATGAGCATTGCATCACTATTATTATCCTAAAGAAACTGCAACTGAGGTACAATACTGACTTCCAAACTTCCAGTTATCTCACCTATTTTAAATAAATTTACATACATACTGATGTTTTTCCCTTTCTATTTAATCCTGCTTCTAAATTCTAAGAGAAGGGCTGATTCAGGCACTCGGGTGATATCATCTGCATTTCCCTGGCCTGCCAGCAGAGGACACTAGAGTTCCTTTATTATATTCAGAAAAACCTCTGGGGGGAAATATCAACTATTTCCCTTTTCTGTCTAGTTCACTAGCCAAACAATTATATATGCCAATATTTTATAAGTGAGGAGAACCCCTCTCATCAATTTGCAAGTGGGGAAATGACACAGTATGAAGTTTAATTTTGATTCCGTAAATTGTCCAGGCAAACAGAAGCTGGCACAGCAGTCATGTGAAATGCCATAGATTTCCTAGTTGAGACTGATTAGAAATTTAATCTGGCATGAAAAGAAAATCAACTGATGTGATCAAATTCTAGATGTGGATGTACCAGGTGGAAAGGGCCATTGACTGATCCCCAGGTGAACAAAAGTTAATGCTTTGAAGAGCAGGTTCATGGGAAGCGAACTGACCACCTAACTGTGTATCTTTCCTTCTGCCAAATGCTGTATTCTCATCCAGGACACGGAACAATGCACCCTAGAGCCAGGTTTTCACAGCACATTTTGTCCTTACTGCTTCAAATGGAATATAAAAAGTAAGTAACAGTATAGTTACAAAGATTTTCAGGAACTGGGAAGGAATAATTGACCTACTGTTAAATTTTTAAAAAGCAATTCACTATTTATTGAATGCCTATTATATGTCAAGGATTTAACTTACAATCTATGGATAGACTCCTCATTCTTTGCAGAGGTAGGACACTAGAGGTATGGAATACTGCATATCCTGGGTTATTAAAGTCCATGTATTAGCTGTTTTTCCCAAGCTTTTTTTTTTAAGCTTTAAAAAGAAATCTTGGTTATAATGGATAACAAACTGGGAGAGAGAAAGTAGATACAGTCAGAAATGGATGTGATATAAAAACAAAATGAACCAATAAAAATAAAATTTCCCAGAAAATCTAGATAGAATTTTTTCATTAACAAAATTGTCCATGGGCAAATGATCTTAATTATCATAGTAATCAATACTACTATGATAGAGTCATAGAATTGTAGAATTGGAAGGAATTTCAGAGATCAATTCTAACCACTGTTTTTAGAACTCAACCAAGATTCATAGAGGTGACACTGACTTGCACAAGGTCACACAAATTGAAAGGATAGGACTAGGGTCCAGGATGCTTAATTGCAAATCTATGGCTTCTTTTACTACATCATGCTTTTTCCACTTTTTTTTTTCAACCAGACATATTTTCTTTGGTACACATAAGACTTTTCCCCTTTAGGTGAACAAGTGAAGAGCTCCCAACTAATCTCATTCATTTGCCTAAAACAGAAATGTTAAGTGACTTGCCCAGGGTCACAAACAATATGTAGGAGAAGAGGGACATGAAACCTAGGTCTTCCTGACTCCTAAAGTCAGCATGGTTATTCGCTATACCACACTGTCTCTTGCATCTATTTTCAGAAGTACTTAAAAAAAACTAAAAATCTCCCTGAAAAATTCTTGAAGCACCTTATACAAGTAGCGTTTCCTTTAATAAAGCATAGTGAACAGAAATTTCTGACTGATGTTACAGATTCACTTAAGGAACAGTAGCCCCTAGGTTTACACAATACTTATGAAGCCCTGAGGCCTGAGGCAGATCATCCTGTTCAGAGCCTTCCTGATTGAATGTTTATAGGGGTGAAATATGACTAAAATTAATGAAAGGGACAAAGGTGAGGAGAAAAGTCAGAGAGAGACAAGGTGGAAAGACTGTGACTACCAAGGTTATGGAAGGTGTTAATGGTAGAAAGGAACACATTGTACAGGTTGCCATGAACCGTATTTCTTGGATAATTATAACCTCTCAAAAAAAAAAACTGTACCATGAGCTTGAGGACAATCTAATACTTTCCTGAGGGTTGTGTGCCAATAGCTGTTTGCTCCCTGGGGCAAGCCTTCAGTGTTAGCAAAGAGAATCTCCAAGAGAAGAAGATGATTCTTCTGTTCTCATCAGACTACATTTGGATCCATACATTCATGTTTGGGTGCCACATTTTGAGGAGGACGTTGACAACCAGTAAAATGTGTGCAATACTAACTGTGACCAAAATCCAACCAGGAACACCTGGTGACCCCTTTCTAACTTGCTAGTCATCTGAAAGCACCTTGCCTAAAATTATATTAAGATGAGTTTCATATAAGTTCATTTTGGAGGCAGCTAGTGGTTCCAGATCTGTGATTTTGGCAAAATAGGTAACTCCCAGTATGGAAACTTCCTCCACTTATGCAGACTGGCAACTCATTTTAGAGTCTTAGAAGGTTCCTAGGGCACTGATAGGTGCACATGATCACACAGCCAGTATATGTCAGAGATAAGGTTTGAACCCGAAATCTTCCTTACATTAAGGCCAAATGTTTATCCAGTGAGCAAGGAGTCTTAAACAGGGGCCCATGCACCTTCAAATGGTCAGTGGATAGATGCCAGGGGATCCATGAACTTAGATGGAAAGTTTTTTTTAAAAATTACTAATCTCTATAACTAAA